TGCCACACTACAGCCGCTTACCAGGGAGGTGATCTGGTTGCTTGTTTTCCCAGTGTACTAAGTTCCAACATGGTGCAGATCTCAGGAGATGCTGGTGGTTCTCCCCCTGGAAGGGCCACAGCCTGCCACACTGCAGCTGCTTACCAGGTTGGCAAGCTGGTTCCTTGGTTTCCCAGAGCCCTAAGTTCCAACATGTTGTGGATCTCAGGAGATACTTGTGGTTCTCACCCTGGGGTGGCTGAAGCCTGCCCCACCACAGCCACTTACCAGGGAAGCCAGATGCTTGCTTGGTTTCCCAGCTTCCTAAGTTCCAGCATGGCATGGATCTCAGGAGACACTGATGGTTCTCTCCTGGGGAGACTGCAGCCTGCCACACCACAGTCACTTACCAGGGAGGCGAGCTGCTTTCTTGGTTTCCCAGCACCCTAAGTTCTGACCTGGCACAGATCTCAGGAGATGCTGGTGGTTCTCTCCCTGGTGGGGCTGCAGCCTGCCACACCACAAGCTGCTTACCAGGGAGGCAAGCTGCTGGCTTCGAATCCTACATTCTTCCTGGGCCAAGTAGCCTAGAAGTACTGATGTAGGTCAACTTTTAGTTCCTGCTTTTGTTGTGTATTCAGGTTCTTTCAGATCCCCAGATCTCCCTGTTACAGTGTTTTTGTCAGCTGAGGTGCTACAGTGTCAGTAAGGGTCTCATAAGCTCTTTTAATTTTCTCCAAGTTGGGGGTGGTTACTGGCACACTCCTCAACATGTCTGAAGTTCTCTGTGTGAAGGGTGAATTACCCACTCTCTTTCCAGGTTCATCAAAGTCTTACAGTTGGAGGGAGTTTCCCTTCTGCTCCTATTTACCCATTGCAGATCTCTATTTTAGGGGCAAACTCACCACACTGATTGGAGCCTGCTGAGGTCTTCTGTTTGGGTGAGAGATTCCTGAGTCTCCCATCCAGCCAGCACAGTAATTCACTGTAGTCCGAGATTCTGGGAGAAGGGGTTAGATCCAAAGATGAACTGCAGTACTAGGTCCAGTAGGCAGGTTGCTTCCCTAAGTGACGGGCCAGTGGTGGAAGTCGAAGAAGGCTCAGTCCTACCCAGGGCATCCCTGGTGTTCTGGGCCACGGGCCAGCTCACAGCAGCAATCTGAGGTGACTCAGGCATGCAAGGCCAAGGGGCAGGCCCAGTGACATTAGTTAGAGCCAACTCAGTCTTGGTATGAAGTTAACCTTGTTTGCAAACAGTACAGTTAACTCTGCCTTTTTTGGGTGGAGAGATCCTGTTGCATGAAGTATTGTTTTCCATTCTTTGATATTCATTCCTTATGTGTTAGATGGCACCATCCTCAATGAGTTAATGTATAATGTATCTACATTGTGTTTCACGCAATAACAAATTTGCAACCATTTTAGCAGGCTATGAAACCTTTCCCAAAATAAACCACTTATAGGCCATTAATGCATATTTAAATCAATACTAAATAATCAAAATTATCCTATAACTATTATCAGATTATTTTGCAATGAAACGAAAAATCAATGGCAAAAGCAAAAACAGAAAATACACAAAGCATGAACGTAAAATAATATATACTTGTATGATCAATAGGTCACCAAAAATTGAGGAAATATCTTAGTTTCTAGAATCAATTGATAATGACAGTAAAAACCACCATAACTTTTGTAAGCAAATAAAAACAGTGTTAAGAGTCAGTTTTATTGCTGTGAACACCACCACCAGGAAAAAATGAAAAAAAAAAAAAAAGAAAGAAAATAAATGACATAATGGCACACCAGAAGATAATAGGAAAATCCAAATCCAATGGTAGTACAAGGAATGAAACTATAAAAATTGGAGCAGAAAGTAGTGAAATTGAGACAAAAAAAGTTGGTTCTTAGAATGAATAAACAAAATAGAAAATATTTAGCAAATCTTATTTAAAAAACAAAACACCAATCCATACAATTAGAAATGAAAAAGACAGAACAACAAAACAGCACAAAATCCTGCAACTACTTTGAAAATTGTAATCCCATAAACTAGCTAATTCAGAAAAATAATAGATTTCTGGATAAACTATTAAAACACAACCAAGAAAATAAAATTCTCTGAACAACCCAATAATGGACAGTGAAATTGAACCAGTAATAAAGTCTAATAAGTACAAAAATCCCAGATTCTGATGAACTAACTACTAATTTTATAGGAACTTCAGGAACAATCCAATGCCAAATTTCCTAAAACTGATAAAATTGAAAGGCAAGTGGAACTCTCAGATGCATTCCATGAAGCATCATTATCCTGATTTCAAAACCAAAATGCATCCAAAAAGATGAACTTTGGATTAATTAAATTCAATAAAATAAAGACAAATATCCTCAACAATATATTTTTCATTTGCAACTATTAATGTTATATTGTTTTACTTCACATCATCTTTCAACTTTTGAATTGTTATTTCCTGATTTGTTGTTATTTTTAAAAGATCTTTCTTGTTCAGTAGCTGCAATCTTGTCTTCAGTATTTGAAAGTCCATCTTCACATTCATTCATGTGATTTGGGTGGCTTTTGATGGTATTTTTGTTTTCCAGGATGTCTCCTTCAATCTGTTTCATGTATTCTATTGTTTTCTTATGTTGTTTATTTAAGGCTTCCATCGTTTTGCAGTGCTCCTTGCTTTTTTAAACTAGGTCTCCTAAAGATGTGTTCAGCATTTCTTTTACTATGTTTATTAATTCTTCTTTTACCTGGAAGGTTGTTTCTGATCTGAGTTGCTTTATAAGCTTCATGGAGTTGTTTCTTTACTTCAGTTGCTATCATTTCAAAACTTTCAGGTGTATGGCTTATATTTCCTTCTATGTCCATATCTCCTATGCTTGTTTGGTTTGGGCTGGAGGTTTGAGGTTGTATTTTGCTTTTTCATTTTGTCTATTTCCCTGTATTTTCCAGTTCCCTAATGGCACGTAGAGACTCCCCAGATTGAAGATGCACACTGGATGGATCTTCAGCACTCCACACATGGTTCACCAAAGTACCCCAACTACTTGAGGTCACTGGGCAGGGCCCTACCAGGTTCTAAGTGTTGAAAAAGGCTGAAGAGTATATAGAGTACACTGGGCAGGCATTCAGCTCATGCCACATGGCACACCAAAGCTCCCCTGCTTCTTGGGATCTCTGGCTATGGCTCCACCAGGTTTGAAGCAAAGATCTGCTACTGCACAGCTAGATAGAGATCACTGTGGCAGGCTTCAGCTCATAAGTGATAGCTTGTAGCTATCTAGAGGATGCTTGGCAGGGCCAAACCAAGACCAAAGTGATGACCTAAATGTCTCACATGTTCATGGATTTTGGACGGGGGCCTACCAGGTTCTATGCAGAGTCCTGTGGCTGCACAGCTTGTAGGTATCTCTATGGTAGGCTTTAGCTCACTTACGGTGGCTCCCTGTTACCTAGAAGTCACTGGGAAGGTCCTATCCAGGACTGGAGTGATGATCTAGAGGTCATGCAGTGTTTAGGGATGCTGGGTGGGGTCTACTAGGTTCCTGGCAGTCTCTCAGCTGCACAGCTTGGTAGGATCACTGTGGCAGGTTTCAGCTCACACGTGGTGAATCCTTGCTACTGGGAAGTCACTTAGTGGGGCTTAGTCAGGACCAGAATGATGACCTTGTGGTCTTTTAGTGTTCCAAAATGCTGAGCAGGGGCCTATCAGGTTCTCGGTGGAGTCCCATGGCTATACAACTAGGTAGGGATTTCTGTTGCAGGCTTTATCTCATACACAGGGATTCTTTGCTACTTATAAGTTGCTGGATAGGGCCCATCCTGGACCAGAGTGATGATCCAGAGGTCCAAAAGTGTTCTACAATACTGGGTAGGTGCCTACTAGGCTCCAGGCAGATTTGCTTGGCTGCACAACAAGGTAGGGATCTCCTTGGCATTATGTCATTTTTTAAAAAAAGTAAACAGAAGGGGAAGAAAATAGATCACTTTAGATAAAAATGTCAAGAAAGGTCAATTTTGAAAGGCTGCATGATGCTGAGATAGTGAATGGGCTGAACGGTTACTGGCATGGTTTATAACTTTAAAAGAACAGGAAAAGAACATGCTCTAAATATAGAGAAATGGAAGGAGTCTGGAAGCTTATGAAAAATCATTAAAATGCCAGAAAACATAGAGTGTTATACTTCATTATAAAGAGTTTGTGTATAATATTTGAAATACAAAGGAAAAATAAATTGGAAAATTTAAACAGGATGGAAAATTAACTGAGTTACAATCTCATAATATTACACTTACTGATACGTGGATAATCCATTTGGCTGGATTGGGACTGACAAATAGCCGCAAATACTTAACATTTATCAGGAAAAATAGGCTAATGTACTTATAGGGTGGTGGTGTTGAAAGAGATGAATAGAGTTGTGAGCTGTACTTTGACAATAGAAATTTCAGGGCTTTTATTATATTAGAATGTTTTAGCCAATGCTTACTACAGTGAGATGCAAAAGACTGCAAAATATTTGCGTGTGCACTAGAGAACTGAAGCATCCAGATGAGGGCTGGGAACCCACAGCAATGTTCTGTGAAATTCTGAATCTGTAGGCTGATGAATCCACAGTGGGAGACAAAAGGATCTTTGCCATAAAGTTCCAAAGGCCAGTATCGGGAGCTGAAACACAGTTATGGGAAACAGGATCTCAGAAATCTTCCGGCAATACAAAAGTTGAGAAAGCCAGATCCTTTATTGGTTAGCTAGGCTCAGTGGAATTCATACTTGAAATATGTGAAGGTGCGGAACAGAGTTATAAAACTTTTTATAGAGTTTGTAGTGGGAAAGTGTGAGTTAAAGAAAGACAATTACTTAAAGGTGACAGATTTACAACTTTGGCCATCTTGTCAACCTTAGTCGTCAAGGGAGACAAACCAGAGGCAAGGAAGGAGAAGGCACTGTAGATTAGAGAGTGAAGTCCCTTATGGGTGGGAAATGGAGAAGAAGAAGAAAGTGTGCCCATCAGGTTAGGAAGTTGTGAAAGTGCTTTATTAATACATCAAAGAGAAGGCAAGAAGTGCTGGATGTGACCAGCCAAGGGCAGAAACTGCTGAGATCCGAGAAGGAAGAGAACTGAGTCCCAAAATTTGAGACTTTCTCCCTCAGTGTCTGGAATAAAAGGTTGAGGGACACATGTCAGGATGCTGAGGGATCTAAACTGGAAGCTGAGACAGGGCCTCCAAGATGAAGATGAGAACTGAAGTTCCCGTGAAGAAAGAAAACACCCAATGCTCTTTCGAAGACAAACACAAAATACTTTGGGAGTAAAGGAGTCACAACTAAGCTCCTCCAGGAAACATCGGCTGAAAACTTTCTCTCCCATTTTTGTTTTTATATCATTCTGACAAAAATTTTCCCTGAAGTGGGTCTTCCATGACCAGATTCAAGCTTACTCAACTCAGCTTGGCATTGACATTCAAACTGATAATCAGTCTATTGACCACCTCACAGGGATTTATAAAGAGTGAAAGAAATGTATCCAAATGAAAGTTACTTTTCCAGCTCAGGCAGTTACTTGATGTGTTAAGTCAGTAGCCACAGCAATTATTTGATGATAAAAATATGCAGTATAACCACCACTGTTAAATTTCTATCAACTTGTTTTGAAATCTTGTATCATCATTGTTTTTAGTTGTTTTGGTGATCATTTTGCTTTAGTTGTTTCTTGTTTGTTTGCTTCTTGAATTGCCTGCTTCTTACTCTTTAAAATAAAAAAAAGAAAATTGTTAAAAGGAAAACATTAAAATACAGTGACAGGAAAGAATTGAGTTCTTGGAGAGGACTACAAAGCAGCTCTGAGCAGAATTTAAAATCAACTAATTGGCTTTCTACGTTTATCTGTGAGTCTGTGCTAGGCCTACGCCCTTTGCCTGGCTATGGGAGTGAATTCAAAATGAACGTCTATGAATCTCTGGTCTTGGCTGAGGCTGGTAGTGTCTTGTGAGGCCAGAGATACCTCAAAGGGCAAGATAAGGCCACAGCTGAGAACATCATGGATCCAACACTAGTTAAGTTAATAGATACTGCAGCTGATGGGATCTTACTTCGGCTGTCATATTCCTACCATAAATGTCATCATAGAAATAAGATGGTTCTCCTCAATTGGCATAATTTGCTACTTGGAGAGGTCTTTGAAATGGCTCCCAAGGTCTTGCTCATTGCCCATGCTTTCCTCAGTTTCCCTACCCTTTGTTTTGAACCTAATAAATATGGACAGTCCAGAGAGATTTTTTGTTTTAACCTTTAGAGTCTATAGATCAGCTAAAGTGTTTTAGTTTTCCTGGAGCCCTAAAATCATACCACTTGTCTGATTTTGTTTAATACTTCATCGTACATGCATTTGGGAGATCGAGGAGCTAGGTCAGGACCTGATATTAAGTCATAATTTGGTCTATTGATCTTTGATGTGACTGAAGCTGAGTAGTGGATTACAGTGATCTACACTTAGATTGTTATTCAGATATGTGTGAATACATATAAATGATACCTATGAATTTCAAGATTTAAATTTTTTATTTCTGTCCTTAAAATTCATAATGAAAATACTTAAATTTATACCATATTATGCTAGATAGACTGATTTTAAAACACTACTACAGAATTCCTCAAAATACAGACATATTTTAGAAACTGCCTTAAAATCATATTGCCTAATACTCATATTTTCTGCATGGCCTGAGTGAGTAGAAGCATCAATTAATGTAAAGCACAATAAGTTTTACATTAAAATATAAAAAAATTCATGTAACAAAATTTAAGGATGTTCTCTGTGTTTCTTGGAAATCTTCCATTTTATTTCTGCAACCATGTTCTCCTTCCTCTATTCCAACATAGCACCTTATGGAAGAATTACTACCTATAAAATATTGCAGATATTTTTCAACAAAGAGAATAATAAGAAATGTCAATGAATCAACTCCATATCTAGATATGTACTAAAAAATTTGAATTTTGATGCTGAAAAAATACCTACACCCAAATGTTCATAGACAATTATTCACAACATAGAAAAGTTAGAAAAAAAAAAAACTCAGGTATGAATAGTGAATAAATAGATCAATAGTAGCATATACATAAAACAGAAAATGTTCAGCCACAAAAAGAAATGAAGTAATATTATTTACTATAGCTTCAAAAACCTTTATGAGATGTGAAATAGGGTAAGCAGAGAAGGTCATACATTTTGGTTCAATTTGCTTTTCTGTGTTCCTATCAACAAATAACTGACATAGATAATATGACCCTTTAGAGAGAGAATCCCACAGCATGTACAAACAAACAAACAAAAAAACCTATTAGATCTAATAATGATTTTAACAACTTCTGATTTTAGAATATATACAAAATAATAGTTGTATTTTTATACACCAAAAAAGAATTATATGGAAAATAATTTAAGACAATAATTTCACTAGAAATAGTTTCCAAATAAAAACAATAATAATCTACCCTTGAAATAATAATGACTGGGTTAGTGTTTAGCTTAGTGATATAAGCCTCTGCTTGGCAAGAACAAGGTCATGAGTTCTATCCCTGGTACAAAAAAATAGAATTAATGATGACTTTTGATTTAGCATGTTATATTAACAAAAGAGCATACATAAATTATTTATATAACTTAAGACAATTGAATTAAGAGCCATCCAGCAGCAAGATATAATATTACTGTCCCATAATGAAAATATTACAGTGACTATCAACAGAATAAAGCAAAACTCAGCTAAAATACAAAAATGACGAGTCTTTAAAAGAATATGGAGAAATGGTAACCCTTGTTCATTGTTAATGGTAACATAAAAATTTTCAGTTTCTATTGGAAAGTTTGACAGCTCATTTAAAGTTTAAACATAGAATTTGAAAAAAAGTAGATTTTAGTTATATGAGTTTTTAAAAAATAAACATTGAATCATTAGGTTTTAATTGACCTAATAATTATATATATATATATATATATATATATATATATTCTCAAAAAATTAAACATTAATATTTAAAAATACTTGTAAACCAGTAGCATTAATCATAATTGATAAAAACTGGAAATAATTTAAATGTCCATAATGTTTGAAAAAATAAATAAATTGTAGCATGAACAGAAAATGTATACAATATTTAGTCATTAAAAGAAATGAAGTACTGTTATATCCTGGAAAATATTTATATTAAGACAGAAAAAAAATTTGCAGAATATATGACTTGATATATATGAAACATCCTGAATGTTGAAATTGTTAAAGATAAAATAAAGATTTGTGATTTCCAAGGGCTGAAAAAAGGTATAATGGGAAATATCCATTTAATGGGTGTGGAATTTTATTTTGGGTGGTTAAAAATATTTTGATGTATATTTGGATGAATTTATTTGATGATGATTGTACAAGAGTATAGATGCACTAAACAATACTGAATTTTAAGTGGTATGTTTTATGTAAATATTAGATCAGTTAAAAGACGAGAAGTCTCATTTCCTTAAATCTAACATTTGAAGTTTACATTTAATGATTTAGTGTTTTCCTCCCTCAAACAGTATACATATGCAGTCTGAGTGGATGATAATGGTTTAATATAAAGAACTGACTAATAGTGGAATGTTATTACAAGTTTAGCTAATAGTGGAATGTTATTACAAGATTGGCCATTAGGGTCACAAGGTCTCTTCAGTGATCACAAGTACAAAATCATATTGCCTAATACTCATATAGTTATTTACAGGACAGTTTTAGTACATTGATAATGGTGCTACTTTGTGATTTTTACATTTATACATATTTGTCTTTTTGAGACAGAGTCTCGCTATGCAGTTCAGGCTGATTTTGAGCCCACTTTGTAGGCCAGGCTGGTCTCAATCTTGCAACAATCCTCCTGCTTCAGCCTCCTGAGTGAATGCTAGAATTATAAGCCTTTGCCATCATTGGCTAATGTTTTTAAATGCTAATTAGGTTCAAGGTGAAATGCACTGGTAAAAGGAAGCTTATTGCATTACTAAGACTTTATTTCTGGAAGCAAGCATTCTTAAGTGCTAGCAATTTTCTTTTCTTGTCTTTAGATATATTGTGAAGTGTATCAATTTTAAAGCATTCATCTTTCGTAACAGGGGAACATATACATATTTTGAAGGAATTTTTTGTTAAGTAAACTCTCTGTTATAATATCCTTTAAAAATATGTTTCAGTGTGTTTTTTCTAAATGGAACTCTTTAATTTGGAATATCTGTGTTTCAAAATTATGCTATATTTTATAATTGTATAAAACTTTTCCTCCTTTATGACTAAAGTAAGTAATATTGAGACAGATGAAAATTTCCTTTAGTGAAATATATGGCTTGCTCAGAATTGAATAAAGACATTTTCTATTTCTTTCAATGCAAGTGCAAATATACAGCTATAAAAATCTTATGGTTTGTTTGAAATAAAGTTTCTCTTAAAACTTCACCCTATGCTAAATTTACCATAAATGCAAAATGAGTATCACAATGCAGTAAAATCTCGGATAAAATTTCAATTAGTTAACAAATGCAACAGTCAAAATCTGTACTTCAGAATGTCTCACTCAACACTCAAATAATGTAGCTTAGGAAAAAAACACGATCCATTTATTTATGGAAAAAGTAAAACCAAAAAGCAACAACAAAAATAATAAAAATAGAAAAACGTGAATAGAAAAAAATATGTTCAAAACCAGTTCAAAGTGAAACAAGTGTTTAAGAAAACTTTTTATTGACAGGGCAAATAACAATAATTAAAAAGAATTTCATTTAATATATGAAATTCTATATGGAGTGTTGTGTTATTTTACAATAGATACCATGAATAGATTTAATAATCATACGCTAGTAATCATATTTGGTAAAATAATTTTACTATAGTACTTACTATTGATTTAAAATATATTTCATGAAATTTAGAGTCATTCCATAGTTTATGTTAGATTCCTTATATTATAAGGAAATTTAAAATTATCTACTTTATTGTAATAGGAAAATTATTCTTAGGTAAGAAACTCATTTGTGTTCCACGTGGAAATTTACTTGTCTCAAGGTTACTGTTTGCACAGACTCTAATATAATGTCAGGGAGCCAATAAAAATTATACAACCTAACTGAAAAAATGTCATAATATTTTCCTGGTAATGTACTTGTGAGTATGAAAATATATAAGGAATGCAAAATGCCCAACAAATTGGGAGGCATTTAGGTACCTAGTAATAGTTTTACTTATATGTATCATTAACAGAGTCTAGCTGCATTAAGCACGTTGCACACATCATCTCACTAAATATCTATAAAATATATTCTAAGACATTCTAATAAATTCTCCATTTTATAGGTCAATAAATCTAGACACTGAATCTTAAAATTCCTGCAGCTAGTGAATTGTAGCAATGAAATTTGAAATCTGGCCATGTTTGTCTACCCACTTTAAGCTCTGCATTCTAAACTTCTTCCTCATTTTTCCCATGTGCCTCTAAGTAGTGAGATCCTTTGTTGACTGTGTGACATAGCCTTTATCACAACTATTTTTGTATCACAACTATTCAATAGTTTTTCTTTTTTAAAAATAGTTTTAAACAGTAGGGAAGCATTGTTTTATTAATTAGTTACATGATAGATATGGAGTTTCTTATCATTTTTATTAAAGCATCCCTTGTCAATGGATATTCCCAAAGACATGAGTATTTCCTCTTTAATGTATGAAATGAGAGATCTTTTAGTCAGTAGATGTAGCTCTTGTTTTCAATATCACATACATAACACACCTATGAAACAAAATAACTTGTATTTGAATTTTGAGGTTATAGTTGTTTTTCATATAAATGAGATTATTATGGCTTGTGTAGAAGCAATATTTGCCTAATTTTTACTTAACATTATTTTAGATTTCCTTCATAGTTATAGGTATCTAAGAAATAATTCCAGTTTTCTTATAACTCCTATTTAATGAACCACTTTTGTGCAAATGATTAAAGTTCAGTAAATTCTATATTACAAAAATAGTAAGCAAAGAATTTTCCAATTGACAGCCTATTTTTTTCTCTTATAGGCTAGAATCCAGTGCTAAACAAGCAAACCTATACTTTTATAGAGTCACCAGGCCGCCTACACTCTCCAAACAAATAATCCACTGGGAAGAGGTATTGTCAGAATCTCTATGAAGGAAAGAAATGCTAACTGGATGTCACCTTGTGCGTATTCAGTCATTTTTTAGTGTTGTCCTCAAGAAATTGTTTGAGAAAGTACTTCTTAAAACACATAAAGCTTAAAATTACAGACCTTAATAGAATTACCTGCTGAGCATGACATGTGAGATTTCAAAATGCCTCTATGTGTTACTTTGGCCTCTGACATGGTAAGAGCATATTAAATTTTAACTACTGGTTAATTGTTGCAAATAGATTTTCTATCCATTTCAAGATATTTTAAGCCTTCTGTTTTTAGATAAAACCTATGCATCTGAAGGACAATTTAAGAGATGATAGGCAACAAAGAATATATGTGTTGGTGATTCAAAAATATGCACATTCATTTTGGATGTGACAGATTTAAACACATTCTAATTATGTTTAATTTGAAAATGACACATTATTCAGCATAGATTGATGGTACTGTTTAAGTGGTAAACTTTGTCCCATGTTATGATAATCATGATTTTTTCATATGTTATATTTGTATAATCTTATATATTGATATGTGAATTTACATGAATATTTTACATTATATCCCAGAGCTTTTATATGATTTCTATTGAATTATAATCCAAGATTTCAAATTGATTTAAATAGTTGACGAAAATGTAATACTTTCTACAAATAGGAAATATGCAATTTATTTTAACAAAGAATTTATTAAACACATAATAAATTCCAGGTTATATGGTTACTTCTGGAAGTATAAAATTGAATCAAAATGTGATTCCAATTTTGTAAGACACCACCAGTTCTCAATTATGCTGGCTCAATGGTTTCTTTCAGGCTGTTTTAATTGCCACTCTAAGTGAAACTCTAGCACTGATATACCTCTTTTTCATTATGGAATTATCAAAATATGTTCTCTTTTTGCTTGATATTGTTTAGAAACTTTCCGAAGTAGATTTCTATTTTTTAAATTTTATTTTAGAACAAAATTTACACATTTTGGATTTTTCCTTAGTGAAATCTCCAGACAGATCTCCACAAAGGCTGTACCAGTCTACACTCTCCCACCAGCAGTTCAGGAGAGTTCCTTTTTCCCCGCAATAGCTGACTATATCAATGTTTTTGGATCATTGAACACAGCTGTTTGCAGTCTCCCTGTTTGAATGTCCACCTTGTATTCTTTGATACTGTGATTTGAGCAACTATTTTCAAGATGATAGTATGTAATCTATTAACAGGTGATTTCTTACTGTTATGTTTTTTTTTGTAGTTCTGTATTACGTGTACCCTTACACCGCTTTGTTTTGTTTTGTGTTTTTCTCTTTTTCCTCTTAAATAAAATTTTAAAAAAATTTTATTTTAGACAAAATAAAACCAAGAAAAATAATAAAACCAATCAAAACAAAACATAAACTTGCAAAGGATTTCAAAATAAGATAATAGGAAAGCAACAATGCTTACCATAATGCCTCTTGCCATCTTCAAAGTAGCTGCGCATACCTTCAGATGTAGTAAAATCAAACAAAACAGTAACAGAGTAGATCAAGTAACAACATAACAATGAATGCAATACATGACTTTAAAACAAGATAATAGCAAATCTAAGTTGGCTATCATAATATCTTGTTATCTTCAAACTAGCTGCCCATGCCATCTGATACAACAAAATGTACCAAGATAAAACTGGACAAAACCCAACTGAACAAAATAATGACAATGATATAGGATTCTGAAACAGGATAATAGGGAATTAACAATGGTCACCCCTTTAGAAGGAGATACCTCCATATGCTACATTGCATATTGTTACCCTCTAAAAGAAGTTCAGACCACTGGAATTAGGCCTGTAAAGTCAGTGAAATAATAAACACTGCAAGCATTGAACTATACTTTACCTCATTAGCTATCATCACAGCCGGTGTTTCTCCAGATCATCTGGTTGCTTATGGGGGGAAGCAAACTTTGGCTCTTGCCTCCCTGCTCACGCACTGGAATGGGTTGGTATCTGGTTCTCCCCCAGTCAGTCCACACATGGTGCCCACTCATAGGAGGTTTCAGCTTCTTGTTTACTTCTGGTTCTCCTCTCCTGAAATCTGCAAATGGCACTTACTCACAAGAGACAGCTGGAAATTAACCCTCCCCCAGTCAGCCTGCACACGGTGCCAACTTACAGAAGGTCTTAGATTCATGTTGACTTCTTTTTTTACACCCTTGCATTCTGCAAATAGGACTGACTCACAGGAGAGGATAGGTGTCTGATTTCCCCCAACCAACCTGTGCATGGTGCCAACTCACAGGAGATCTTACCTTCTTGTTGACTTGCTGTTCTCCCCTGAAATTCACAAAGTTCCAATAGATTTCTTAGTTATCATAGTCTAAATTATAATGAGCTAGGAAAAAAATCTAAAAACTAGGCTCTATTTCAAATTTATTTTCTAATATACTATGTGAATGTCTCAAATAATCTGTTTCTACACCTTCTTCATTGATGTCTCAGGGAATTTCCAGCATGGGTAAACTGAGATAAACACAGTATATGCTTACTCAATCTGTCTGGCATTTACAGTTTAGAAACTGTATGTAATTTATTACAAGATCTTTAGCCCTATGAATATTGGTGGTGAATTGGTGAAGTCATAACCATTCCATGACTTCTCAGCAACTTTTGTTGAGCGGACTCTGCAAAGGCCTCTCTAAAGTTCAGAAAACATTGCCACTCTCCTTCATATCTCCTTCTATGTATCTATCTATCTATCTATCTAGCTAGCTAGCTACCATCTATCTATAATTTTTTGTCTCTTTCAGTTTTCCAAAGACTATTTTCTTTTCCTTTTTTTCTGCTATATTTTTTTTCTGGCTCTCACTTTATTGCAAATTCCTAACAATGCAGATTGAACTATTGAAGACACTCAGCACTCAGCAAATGACTTAAAACTCACGGGTAACCAAATTGAAGTCAGGAAGTTTGTAAATTTGAGTTTTCTAAAAAATACCTTGTACAATATTGTTGTGTGCTATATTAGTAAAAGTGTGGTGCATAATTTAAAAATCATTAAGTATCTGAATCACTAATTTAATGTGATACTGTGTATTTTGATTGTCTATGTCTGAAAAATTGTGATCCTCCTTTTCTTCTTGTCATTGAACATCATGATGTATGCATATCCTTCACTCATCTCTAAGATATTAAATACTAATTATTGAATGATCTGTGTTTTTGCAAATATAAATTTACATATATTTGGCAATTGGAGAATTTATGTCTATCTCATTTATGACCGAAAGACAAAAACCCAATCTCTTTTATTTCTTTTTAAACTGTCACCCTTATACAAATCTTTCCAGATCATTTTACTTGATCTTTTCAATGTATTTTGAATTCATCCATTTCATCTTCAAATTCCTTGGCAATTCTGTGCCTTGGGTAGCATACTACTGACATCTTAGAAACCAATCTAATACATGCGCCAGTTTATGCATGATCAAATAATGTTACAGGATGAGTAAACTGCAAATATTACATGGATGGATACTAATAAAGTGTAAGAAATGGTAAGAGTACATAAAATTTTATGGTAATTATGATTCCCCATTACATTGCTTTGAAGACATAATGTTTTCATTCATTAGTTGGAATGGTTTTATTCTGTTTTGTTTGATTTTATTTTGTGTGATGTTATGAACAGTTATTTTGACAAAAACATTATGGCAGCCATTGCTGATTTAATATCATCTTGGTTTGAAATCCTACAATGCTTTTGTTCTTCTGTTTCTATTGGTTCTATCATGTTTTATCTTATTGGATTTTAATATGTATGGTAGTATAAACAAATTTTTATGGAAAATGAGATAATATAGTATCCATTGTTCATTTTCTGTTATTTGATGCTGAATGCTCTGTAATAGTTTCATTATCTTGATTGGTTTTATACTATTTAGTTATATTTGATACTATTGTATGTGAAGGTCTGCTCAACTATTTCAAAGAAAGAGATATTATGGTAGCTACTGTTAATATCCGGTTGTCTCATTGGAAGAGCTGTGTTGTGTACATTGTTCTGTTCTGATCTTCTTTGTTCTGTCCTCTTTTGTCTTAATCTCCTTTTTTTTAAAGTAATGATAAATAGTGTTAACAAATTGAAATTTCTTAAAAATCAACTGCAAAAGTGGGAAATAAGGAACACTAAATTCAAGTTTGATTTTGCAATATTAATTTATTAGTCTTGCATCAATAATTGATTGAAATTTTGAATACGAAAGATGCTGTCACAAATACTTTTTTTTTGGCACCAAGGATTGAACTCATCATAGTGCATTTGCCAGTCAGGTGCTTGTGCAACTAAGCTAAACCCCCAGGCTCCATAAGTACATTTTAATTTGATTCTCCAAGCAATTTCATAGGGTGATTAATATTTCAGTTTTATAAATAAAGAATTTAAAATTTGGGCCAGTTAAGGAATAATTCCATATTTCTGACACACTTATAGCCACTTTTATGTATAAATGCAAGAAATTGGTTTCAACCTATTGTCCTTTTATCAATTAATATATAACCTGGGTAAAATTAATTTAATTAAATACCACTGCAGCTGTGACAAACCACTGACAGACAGAATAATTTGCATAAATCTTGAGAATGCTATACTGAGTGATAAAATCTAGTGTTCAAAAGATACTAACTGCAAACTACACTTGTATGATACACTTGAAAAGGTAATATTAGATTGCTGAAGAACAAAGTAGTGCTACCCATCTCTCAAAAGATAAAATATGTCTTAAATATTAAGTAACAACCTGAGGCTATTTTGGAAGGATACAGATATCTGGCCCTGAAATCTATGACAGTAACAAAGACATATACATGCCTATAAATTGAAAGAATCATGCACTAAAAGAAAAATAAAGCCAAATTTATCATAAGACAACTTTAAAAAGGGTAAAATGGTCACCAATTTGTTCTAATATGCCTTTCAGTCTAGTATCCAAAGAAAGTAAACTACATCTTAATACAGAAGAGTTTAATAGAATGATTTATTCTTCCACATTTTCAGATATTTTACATCATTATTTGATTCAACTATACTCATTAGTGCATATTTTATAATAAATTCAAAATATTATTAATAAATTATATTGTAATATTCTAGGGAAAATTAAAACATAATAATGATCAATTTAGAAGTAATTATGAAGATTTACATAAATAGATAAACAAAAACATGAATAATCTTTGGTTCAAAGCACAATAAAACAGTGCATTAAAGATAATTGTATGCATATGTCCAAAAAGAGATGTAAATGTACAAAGTGAGGTGGGTATATTTCATACAAAAGAATACCACTAATCAATTAAAAGTAGTAATCTATAGACATGCACAACAATGTGATGAATCTTAGAAATATGATACTATGTTTAAAATGCCAGACTCAAAACTGCATTGTATGAATCTACTAATATTACTTACAAGAGCAGGAATAAGATTATAGGATAAAAAAAGTGTTTGCCCATGTGGAGATCAGGTTAGGTGAGGAAGAAAGGATATAGAAGGATGATTTGTGAGTTGATGCCACATATAATAATTTATCTTTCATGGTTTCATGAGTGTATATATAATTGTAGTACTCAAAATCTGAGATTTGCATATTTTTTATTTGGAAATTATGCTTTAACACACAATAATGATATTAAGTGATATGAAAATTTTAGTCTAGTGTCTGAGTTACACAAATCATCAATAAACATCTTTTTAATCAAATTGGACTATATTTTTATTTAAATATTTTAGGAAACCAATATATATCAAGCATTCATGCATAAACCATATCATCACGAATGGATTAGAATGATGTTTGTCTTGCAAACCTGTGACCACACTAATGTAAGCATTTGTTTCACTGTATCAGCATTATCAATTAAAGACTATTAATAGAAGTCTGAAAGTCTCCTGTTGAAACTCCAGATCTTTGTGAAAGCATCTGGTGTGTAACTGTTACTCAACTAACCATTGCTAATATTGTTTCTAACAATATTCCCATGTTAAAACACAGGTTAATTCTAGAGTGATTTTTTTTTTAACCTCAATGTGTAGTGCTATTTGCTCTCAAAGTCCTCTGTTTGCTACTGTTTCTCTGTTATGGTGTCCTGTAATTACTCAGTATTTTCACTTTTAACAATACGGAATGATGGCTAAAAGTGCAGATACTGAAATAAAGTTTTATGGCATCTTATCATGCCTCCATCTTAAACTAAGTATTGGCATTGAACACAGTATCTAACCTCTCTGCTTCATGAATATCATGTGCAAATTAGGGACAGCCATTGTGTTTCTTTAATTGCCCTTCTAATAAGTGAAATTTCTTATGTACTGCATTTCAAAAAGTGTCCTTAAAAGAAAAAAATATTGTTTCTGGATTATTATAACAAGTTCAATCATCTGCTGCTTCCAATCTGTTTTTACAGCAATGCTAGGCAAAATTAATTTAACATTTCATTCTAAACTCTTGTTTTTACAAGTGGTGCTAGACATTTCCTGAATGAAATATATATCAAATCTGTAGAACCTATCTTTTACATGAATTCACAAATATAATAATAAAACCTTGCAACAGAACAGTTCCTAGGATATGAGAGTATGAGTGATGATTTATACGGTAAATATGCTTAAATCAATTAGATGGAAGCATCTATTCTGCCCAAAACCAGAAAAATTATTCCATATAGCTGTGTTTTAATCTTTGTAAAGAAAAAGTAACCCAGTAATACTAGTCTTTGGTAACAACATGCACTTTTGCTTGAAAAAATTACTAAAAAGCTTCTAAATGTAGATTTTATACAGTAATTTAGCTCTTTTTAAAATATGTGGTTAAATACTAATTGCAATATCCTATTACTTTTACAGCAATATTAATTGACTAGGGTATAGTGGGAGTATACTATTATATTGATAATTAACTTACCTCTAGTAGAGATGAAGTAGACTAAATTTAAATCAAAAACAAAGAATTCACATTCTGACCATTTCAATCAGCATCATATAAAATTATTTAATGTTGGAATCCTTTTTACCTAAAAGACATAATATTCCATTATA